TGAACTGGATGTTAAAGAATTGAGGGCTTCCCTGGTGGTCCAGTGGTTAAGACTCTGTGCTTCCAATGCAGGGGATGCGGGTTCCATCCCTGGTGGGCAAACCAAGAGCCCACATGCTACACTGCATGGCCAAAAAATAAAGAGAAGCAAGTTTAGGGGAAAAAAAATAAAAGATGCATTAAAAAAAATAGAATTAAGTCAGAGCTACATTGGGGTTTCCCTGGCTCTAAATAGACTCTCCTAGGCTGTGCTTCTGAAATATTCGCCCAGGGGTACATAGAGGGTTACCAGAGGGCACAGGAGGGCCCCCACAGTAAATATGATGAATCTTACCCAAGCATCAGTTCTACTGAAAAATTTAGAAGGGATACTTTTTTTCTTAAAATTAACGCACATATGATTCAGTGTAGAAGGAAAAGATTGCCGAACTTTAAAGGTAAAACACAGTTTTCTGATGAATGGCTGCTGTGCCCTACAGGGGTTTCCTTGGGGAGTGGATTTGTGGACTTCTCTCTTCCAAAGGGGCACATGATGGAAAGTTTGAGACAACACTGCTTGAAGAGCTGCCTCATGGGTGCTGGCTATGCAGACCCAAATCCTACAGAGTGAAAGGGGAGAGATCAAAGCATCCTAGGGCCCTGAGAAGCCCCCAGAGGGAGGCTGTAGTGGGTGGCTGTGCTGTGCTAGGAGCCTCTGCAGCTCTGGGCCACCCACCCCGGTGCCATGACCCATTTGAGTCACCGTGGCAGGACATCGTGGTGGAGCAGCGCTAGGAAGCGCGGGTACAAGGAGGTCCAGCCTAACGCCGCCCCTGCCCATTGCTCCCTGCAGGGGCGTGGGCTGCATCCATTACGAGATGGCCACAGGGAGGCCCCTCTTCCCCGGCTCCACTGTCAAGGAGGAGCTGCACCTCATCTTCCGACTCCTCGGTCAGTGTCCTGCCGCTCCCTCCCTCGCACCACCAGGGGGCGCCAGAACTCTGTCAAGCCCGGGTGCATATCCGGACTGGGAAGAGCAGCTCGCACCAGATCTCTACAGGGCGGGGGGGGGGGGGGGGGGGCGTCTAAGTCGCCCTCGGCCCTGGCCTCTCACCCCTTGCCACCCCTTCTCATCTCCCCAGGGACCCCCACGGAAGAGACGTGGCCTGGTGTGATGGCCCTGTCCGAGTTCCGAGCATACAACTTCCCCCAATACCTGCCCCAGCCACTCATCAGTCATGCTCCCAGGTAGCCCTTCCTCCCCACTCCTCCTCTCTGCCTGTGGGCCTGGCTGTCCCTCCCGGAGGTGGCTGTGAGCCCCTCCCGTCCCACCCCGCCCCCATACACCAGACTTGTGCCAGCTCCTTCCTCCCGCAGGTTGGACACTGATGGCATCAACCTCCTGACCGGCCTCCTCCTGGTGAGTGTGCTCCCACGCAGACCAGGGCCAGGCAGTCAGAGAGCTGAAGTCCCAAGATCCCAGCCCAGCCCTCCGTCCCACCTGCGTGCTGGCGTTCCCCACGTACCCTCCACCCACCGGGCCCGAGGGGAGTGCTGGCTTCCACAGACTTCAGCTCAAACCCCAATTCAGACCCTAGCTGTGTAGCTGTGGGCAAGTTACAGAGCTTTTCTGTGCCTCAGTTTCCTCAACTGCAAAGTAGAATGAATCATTCACATTTTGTAAGATGGTCTTGAGGATAAATTGAGGTTATGGAATACACTTAGAATGGTGCCTGTCTTGAATAAGCACACGATAAAGGGTAGTTGTTAGCATTACATGTTAATATTACTATTAAAGTTGTGATCTTAGATGCTTCAGCATCTGTATTTCCATCCCAAGAGGAGGTCATTCTCTGAAAGCCCCATTTCTGGTTTTCTCCTGGTGGCTGGAGATCTGAGACCCTGAGTTCTGAGACTGCCTTGGCTTGAGCGGGCAGCTGACCCAGGGGCTTCTCAGGTTAGACTCTGGCCCTTCCCTTCTTGGTCATATAACTTAGCATGGGGATAGCATTGCCCAGAGGGGTCCCTACAGTCCCCCACCCTCTGCTTTTCAGTACGAATCCAAGAGTCGCGTGTCAGCAGAGGCGGCCCTGAGGCACCCCTACTTCCGGTCTCTGGGGGAGCGTGTGCACCAGCTCGAAGACAGTGAGTGTGTAGGGGAGGTTGGGGGAAGGGGGCAGGGCCACCCCAGAACCAGAGAAAGTGAGCAGCTGGTGTGAGTGGAGGAGCCGGAACGAAGAGGCCAGAGGCCCTGGGTCTAGCTGAGTAGCCTGGCTGCCCCTCCTTGGGTTTTCGTTTGCAATGAGGGGAAGAAACCCTGTGGATCCAAGGTGCTGCCCGAAAGGCCCAGTTAGGTCCTCCTGGGCCAGTCCTAACTAAGGGGGTGCTTGATGGGTGTGGGGGCCTCAGGCTGCAGGGGCAGGGCCAGCTCCACTCAGCTCTCTCCTGGCCTTTTCCCTCTCTCACCCCAGCTGCTTCCATCTTCTCCCTGAAGGAGATCCAGCTCCAGAAGGACCCAGGCTACCGGGGCCTGGCCTTTCAGCAGCCAGGTAGGGGCTCATGCCTCCCCCACCTCCTCCTCTTATTAGAGGAGGCCAGGGCAGGCAGCTCCACCCTCTTGAGGAACAGAGATAGGGCCCAGCAGCCCCTCCTGCCGTGGGAATCAGCGTGGCCTCCCTGACATTGGCCTGTCTTCCGGGGGCCCGTGGGGAGCAGGGAAGGGACTGGTTTCCCTATCTCCTTGCCAGGCTTCCTCCTCCTGCGTTTCCCTCCTCAACCCCCACCCTAGACAGAACGCTGCATCTGACAGTAGCCCTGATGAAGGTGCACGCTTTTCCTGGTTCATTCTCTGTGCAAATTCTGAGCTCTCTGGCCTCCATCCTGGGAGAACTATACTTTGTTTCTAGACTAGCTGATGGCCTCAGACATGATAAGTGCTTTCCATGCAGTATCTCATTTAATCCTAAAGTACCCCTTGAAATTGGTACTATAAGTTAATGCTCCCCATTTCACAGGCAATGAGACTGAGCCTCTGGGAGGCTGAGGTACAATTTCACATAGCTAGTAAGTAGCAGAGATGGGATTTGAACCCAGGGCTGACCAGCTCCCAAGCACATGCTCTTGCTGGCTCTATCAGAGTAGCTCTGGAGGACGCCCGTCCCTCCTGATCTCAGGTGACCTTCGGCCCAGCCTTCTCCCTGCAGTCCCACATCTTTCCTTCCATTCTCCAGGGCGAGGGAAGAGCCGGCGGCAGAGCATCTTCTGAGCTATGCCCACCCTGCTGTGGCCCAAGGGACGAGAGGTCACACTGAGCACAATTGCGGCAGGATGGGGCCCGTGTGGCCTCGGAGGACTGAGGAGTGAGGGCTGACGGCCGGTCCAGAAGACCTCTCGGCAGCCCTGCTGGCCATGGCTGTTTCCTCTCCCTTCTTCCCACATGCCTCCCCAGTGGCCTTGGCCTGGACACCAGCCCCTCCATCACCTTCCTTGGGGCTGGGCATGAGCTGCTTCCCTGGGAGGAGGTAAGGGGACAGGGAGCGATCTCAGACACTTTCCCACCCTAAAGTGCTCAGACACCAGCATGGAACCCACATGGACAGAAGAATCTAGAGGCCGGGCAGAGCGCTATGCCTTGAACATGGGCACCACCATGCCTCCCCACCCGGGGTACCTGCCTGCCTCACCAGTTTGGTCGAGTCCCTTTCAGGCCCCTTGGAGCCCACACGTCTTTCCCCTTTTTCCCCCCCTGAGAGCAGGAAGCAACATGGCACCTTGTCTGGGTCCCTGGAATCCTGGGTGCCAACGTGTGTGCCAAAGCCCACCCCCACCTGAGGGGCGGGTATCCCCAGAGCAACAGAGGGACTTGTAGCCCCACCCCCTCTTCTCATCATCCCCCACTTGTTCCCATTCCCCACTCCTCGCCAGAGGCCCCGTATGCTGCTGGACACCCAGTTGAGTCCAGTGGTGGCCTGGTCCCGCCAGCTGCACTCCTGCCAGCTCAGCCGGGCCCGCCCATCTCCCCAGTCCGAATGGGATTGCCTTAAATTGGCAGGTGGTAGAGCACGCACTGCCCTTGGAGCTCTGACCCAAGCTGCTACCTCTCCACCCTTTCCCGAGAGTGGTTCCTGCTTATCATTCCTGAGCGCTGGTAAGCCAGCCCTGGGCCAGGGTCCCGAGGACGGTACCCAGATATGCAGGGTCACCCTGACGCTGGTGCCAGCTCCCTGGGGCTGGCACAGCCTCCCTTGTTCTCTCCTTCCCAGCCCCCGTGGCTCTGTCCTTGCTCCACCCTATCTGGGCACCAGCCTCCCCATGCCCCTGGCCTCCCCAGAGGGCGGTCACCAGAGAAAGGATCAGCACCGCAGTCTGAGGTACAGGAAGGTGGGACCGGAGGGGATAGACTTTGATCCCAAGCCCCAGGCCCCAGGGGACTGGGAGTGTTAGGGCCATGGCCCCACGAGAAGGCCCCGACCCCCACCCCTATGGAGCACACCTGTTCTATTCCCAAAGTCTCCTCAACACTTGGCTGAATCTTGGATGGCGAGGCCAAGGGGAGGCCAGGTCCCCTGCGCACCTGCCTCAGCCCGAGGAGCAGCCCTGGAGGGTCTTGGCTTCCCCACAAGTCCCTCCCCTCCTCCCCCACTGTACTGTGAATGTCCTGTGACTCAGCGCAAAGACAGATAATATATTTAATTCATGTTGTACAGAAAGGAGTGAGCAGTCTCATGCTGAAAAGCTGATTTTGACAGATTGATGCCAAAGATGGAGGACAGAAGGCCCTCTCCGGGCCTTCTGAGTGCAGGTGGGGCTTGCTTGTGTGTGTACATAAAGTGGAGAGAGAGTTTGGTTTGTGTGTGTCCCTGAACCCACCCTGGGCTATGGGCAGGGTGCCCTGCACCCTCCCTGCTGTATTCCGCATGCTGCTGCATTCAGAGCTGGAAGTCAGCTCTGGGTGGCCTGGGGTGGGAGCAGAAGAGACCTGGGACTCTGTGCTCGGGGTCCCAGCCGTGGCCCAAGTTGGTGCCTGAGGGGTGGGGCCAGCCAGGAGTCCTGGGGAAGGATCTGGGGTTCTGGCTGCTGTCGCTGACCCTTGTGCTCCCCGAACCAAGTGGCTCTCTGACCTATTAGGGGGGCAAGGAGGAAAGTTCAAGAGAGGGTTGACATGGGGGATGGTCAAGGCCAGGGCAGCAGAACTAGGATACAAACCTCCCTATAATTCTGGCCCAGCAGTAACTGCACAGACCTGACTCCCCTTCCCACTGCCCAGATGGCTTCTTACCTTGGGTCTGTCCATACCTCCTTTCACACACATCTCCCAGAGTTCTCAGCATCCTGCTCCATTTTCCATTTCAGTGTCCAGGTTTGTTCTCCCCAAGACCACCCTGAGAATGTCAGGCCCCAAACCTCCTGGCCTTACCTGACCAGTGGCCTTATGTCTGGCCATAAGAACTTTCCAGTTTGCTGGCACACTTGAGGAGGCTCATGCTGAGAGGTTGGGTGATGTCCCCCATGATGATGGAAGTAAAGAGTGATTCTCAGCATGGATTCTGCCAGCCTAGACCTCCTCACCTCTTAAAGGCAGCCAGTCACTAAACTGGAGAACAGTAAGGGCAGGGGCCAGGAGACACATTGGTGGGCATCTGAGTCCAGCCTTTTAGTTGAATGTGGGAGGAGGCTAGCCAAGACCTAAGGTTTTCTAAGCTCCCTACTGTGTGCCAGGCACTATGCCTCTCATTTAATCCTCACAACAACCCCCTTTCTCCCCACTTTGCAGGTGAGGACAGTAAGATTCTCAGGGGTTAGAGGACTTGCCTTGGGTCATGTAGCAAATTAGAATCCCAGGTCTGTCTGCCACTCCAGCCCGTGGTCTTCAAAGAGGAGGAGGAGTGAGGAGGGGAGGTGTAGACCAGGCAGAGCCCCAGGAGCCAGAGAAACACACAGCAGGGAAGGCCCCAGAGCAGACACTGCTTCGCTGGAGTGCCTCTTGACACCAGAGACCACCGTTGTATCATAGACAGCAGCACCTACCAGTTTACAGAGGCTTCTGCCCCTTTAAGAGCCCACTCCCCCAGGGAGGCTCACTTGGGTGGGGGGACTTTGGAGGTCTCTGTGGAGACATTAAGGCACTCTGAGCTTCTGCCCTAGAAAGCTTGGGGGTGTTCAGCTGGACAGGCTCCTACCAGCCCTTGTATGTATTTAGTGCTCAAGGAAAAATGATGTTTCTGGAGAAGGAAGCTGCAGGGGCGGAGTAATTGGTTATGAGCTGCTGGGGCAGAAGGGCTTCGAGGGTTGCCGTCGGGCTCTCCGGTGGCCAGACTGCCGCCACACAGGGCACATGTCCTGGAGCCCTCTGTTTCCTGGGCACCCCCAGCTTCATTCCCACATGCCTTATGGCTGGCTCTCACAAACAGCAGCCTGCCCCATATGCTGGAGTCCCTGGCCAAACCCTCCAGCCAGTCATTTCCCCCTCTGGCCTCACTTTTGCCATGGGCTCCTGGGATGGGTCAGGAGTGCCTGGGGCCCCCGACTGGGCCCACTCAGCGGGGTCGTTAGTGCTTTGCAGCAGCCCTGCAGCTGCCGGACAAAAGGTCCTATTTGAGGGTGACAGCAGCTCTCATGCTGGGCTCTGCCCCAGTCCTCTCCCACCCTGGTGGGACCTGAGGCTGGCTCTCCCCTGCCCCACCCTTCCTGTGGGCTCTCAGTCACCCTGTCCCTCTGGTCTGGGCCCAGTGGTCAGGGCTGATGCCCCACAGGCCACCGCTCTCTTTGCCCTGCTAGGCTACGTGGGCCAGCCCGGTGTGGGACACATGCCAGACCTCCTTTCCTTCCTCCTCAAAGCAGCTCAGCTCCTTTTGGGCCACCTTTCCACCTTCATCTTTGCTTAGACCCCTGCTTCCAGTCTTGACACTCCACAGCACCCCTTGAGCCCCTGTCTCCAGAGCAAATCATCAGCCCCATGAATTGGTCACATCCTGGCCCTGTGCTGGGTGCCAGGACAACGAGGTGCAAGACTCTCCACCCTTGCTTTCCGGCAGTGGGAGCTCAAACCTCCTGGCATTGATGGGCTTTCTCTCAGCAGATTTTTTTTTTATCAAGCACCCACTGTGTGCCAGGCACTGAGCTGGGCACTGAGGATGAGGCAAGATCGCCATGTCCCTGCTCTCACAGAGCTTACATTCTAGTGAAGGAGAAAGCATCACGCAAATAAATGTGACACATCAGGGGTCAAATGTGATAAAGCAGAATCAAGCAGAGTCAGGGGAGATGTGAGGGCACAGCGTGGGGGGCTGGCACACGGTATGGTCAGGGGCCTCACTGACAAGATTGGGGAGCAGTGACTGGTAAGGGGGGAGCCATGTGGACCCCCAAGGACAGAGTATTCCAGCAGAGGTCCTGAAAGGAGGGCGTTTGAGGATGAACAAGGAGGCAGCCAGTTTGGAGCACAGCATCCGGGCGGGGTGACAGGAAGGCTGGCTCTCGTGGAGTGGAGCAGTGGTCCTGCGCATTAGGTCCACCAGGGAGCATTTAAGAAGTACGGATGCCCGGCTAGAGCTCCAATGATTCACACGGATTTTCCAGCGGTGGGGCTATAGGCATCAGTAGTTTCTTAAAAGCTCCACAGTTGACCCCAACGCGTAGCCAGGGCTGAGAAGCACTCGCGTGGGGTGCTGTGGGGCATGGAAGGGACTCTGGATCTCGTTCTGAACGGCAAAGCCACTGACCTCTCTTTTTTAAAGGCTCAGAGAGACGAATAGGAGAAGTCAGCCCCCAGAGGAGGGTGCTGTGGGCGGAGGAGGGAAGGACGCCCCCCACCCCGCCCGACACACACACGTACAGGCAGTAGGAGGAGGCTGCAGCTGAGGGGCGCAGGAGGGGAGGAGGGGCCTCTTCTCAGGGGCGGTGCCCTGAGGTGGGGGCTGTCCTCGCACTCACCGTGAGGCACCTGAAACTCTGGGCAAGGTAGCTTGCTGGGCCACACAGAGCAAGGGAGAGTGTCAGAATTCAAACCCAAGTCTGCCTACCTGAGCAGTGCAGTGCTCGCACGATACCATCTGCCTCCCAGGTGGCTGTGGGCGGGCACAGGAGGCGCCACCTTACTGTCTGCTGGGTTCCCGGGAACTGGGAACAGCACCCTCAGCCTCCGGTCACCTACAGGCATGGCTGAGAGGTGACCAGCAGATCCCAGTGAGTTAGCTGAAAGTCACTGTGCCCACCCCACCACATGTGCCCTGCCATCACCCAGCCCCTCCTCGGGACCCTCCGGACCGCCCCACCACTTCAAAAGGCAGCGTTGAGCACCGGGGGCCCCAGTTCCTGTGCCAGAGCTGTGACCGGCGTCCTTTCTGATGGTCGGTGC